TTTTCGTTTTTTACAGTAGTAAGACTTAGAATAAAAATTGAAATTTTAATAGGTAAGAAATTAGGTGTAAGAAATTTTCAGAATCTCAATTCTTTGTAGTATTAAACCATCCTATTTCGCTTAACCTTATGTTTGAAGAAAAATCACAAAGAAATCTGAATTTGTTCCACTTTCTTCCACCGTCAATTGGAAACCAGAGTTGTCCTCAAATTTATTCGTCAAATTCCTGTACTGCGAATACATTGATGCACCAATATCAACAATTGAGTTTATCTAAAGCGAAAATAACATTCAAACTATAAAGAAGAGATAATTTCAACAATGGACAAGTCACGGCTGATATATAGCTTTTAATTTGCTGCTGGACTTATGCTGCCTTAGTATTATCTCTTTCTCTCCTCCTAAAAAAAGAAAAAGAAAACGAAAACGAAATAAACCATACCTGTATAACAGTACTACCTCCAAGCACTGTTGATGTCGAGCAATTGTCAATAGATAAAGATAACAATGGTTTTGTGGATATTTTGACGTCAGTGTAAAGCCACTGTTCATAAACAGCTGACAATAACGAGTCACCGCTAAATTCCTGAAGAAATTTGGTAGCTAAAAAAATCTACATATTTTCAGATAATAATAAATAAAGAAGAAATAATAAACAATAAAGAAGGAACTTAGAGAAATAAAAAAAAGGACTGGGAATGTTTTGAAAATGAAAATACCTCACTTTATTTCACCCTACTTTCTTGATTCGTTTTTCTGCCTATCAATGTAGCCATTGATCAGAACAGGATCATAGTAATCACTCTCAAACTTTATCCTTCCAGGAGTTGTAATACTTCTCCAAAATGGCTTATACTAGAAGGAATCGATGGCATTCTAACATAACATATGTGATTATTTTACAGAAGTTATTGTCAGCTATTCATCATAAGGTAGTCTACACTTACTAGAGAATGAAGATATATCATCACTTCTGTTAGCCATTCTTCTTGCAATGTAACATTCATATTCTTACTGAAAAAATCCTTGATGATTTCCATCCATAACAATTGACGATATTAACGCCTAAAAAAGTTAATTGCTTAAATCAACCATATGTGGGATAAGACCAATATATTTTCGAAAGGATCAAAATTTCATTTGTTCGAGCCATGAAATTTTACTGGAAAAAAAGCAAAATTATACGCACTACTACCACCCATGCAATACATTAGATTAGGCCTTCCATAAAAAAGAAAAATGCAGTGTTATTGACTATAAAGAGACAATAACGAAAATATTAAGTATTACGATTGCAAGCAAAAATTAGATTAATTATATCATTTATTGATGTTCTTGGTTACCATTTTTACGATTCCAGTTGTTTAAAAGTCTCCGTTTCATCAGTAATCAATGACAGACATAGATATAGTAGATATACATATGACATCTTTATCGAAAACTAATTCCTACCTTCCTGGTACCAAATTTTTGAATAACAACCAAAACAGCTACTCAATTAGAAGAGAAAACAATGCGAGAAAAAGCCAGTCACACAATTATAAATTAACCAAAACTTCCTCACTTCTAACTTCTAGAAATAAAGGTTCTATAAAATTTTAAATCTACTTTCTGCGCCAAACATAGGATACACTATGAAACCACTGCGTCTCCCATAATTTCAATAAATTACTTCACTATTCTCCATAAAAATAACAGGAGAGATATTGGGATTTAATGAGAAATCTTCGCTCCATTAAAGGAATGCATTTCCGTTACATATGGCTTAACTTATTGCCGTTGCTAATAGAACAGCGGAGGTTCCACTGCTATATCCCCGACTTTAATAACAAACTTCATCCATTTTTGGCTTTCTCTTTTCCATTACTACGTTACAGCAGACTTTATCATGTTTCCCCCTCCATAATATCTCTCTTTCTCTCTTCAACAATACCGTAGAAAAATTCCACGTACACAGTGTCTTAAAGAGAGAAAAGCTGATTGCAGTAATCGGCCAAGAATACTACTTGATAACATCTACGACTGCAAATCAATAATATCTCAATGACAAATTATGCAGGCGACAGACAATTTTATATCTCCAAATCTTTTTTTACATTTGCATATCGTTTGTAAGAAGCAATAAATAGAAGTTTCCACTTATGAATATTTCATTTCCTATCATATCTTACCGACGATCTGCATTAAACATCCGTTACTTCCCAGGACATTCCGTTCATGGAATTTTCCTAAGGTATTGTTGAAAGGCTTTATCGTGATTTATCCAAAATAATGGTCTTGCAAAGCTATCAAGTCATGCAAACAAACTTCGCGACCTATAGTTTCAAACAAAAATATGAGTTGCTATAAACCCCAATTGCTATAAATTGAAGTAATGTAATACATGTGAGGGTAATAGGGGGAGGATCCACAAAGCACATGATTTATTTAAATGAAAGATTTTTAGGATCTTTAAACAAATGTATTCGTGGTTCACAACTACAATACCAATGATAACATTCATTACAAGTATCACTGGAAGCATTACCATTGCGACCCTATTGTTATACTGTGCAATTAAGAAGTCCAAACGTCCGTATAAGCCAGGGCATTTACTTGAATTTGTGGTACGAAGCGTTCATTCACTTCTCTTCTTCCCGACGTGAAGACAGAATACTTCATTTGGACGGCTTCTCAATCATTGATTCTTAGATCGCATCTCACACGTTTTCGGAACTCAACTCCAGGTTTTGAACATTTTGAAGATGCATTTCGAAATATTTAAAAATTCTTAAAAATTGCTTGAAAATGATCAAATGTTGCAGAGTATAAGAACACCAACTTGTTGGCATTACCCTAAATCCTAAATCATCTTTTACCTCTAATTTCTGCTTGCTTCTTTTTTCCTAAAGCATTTTCAAAAATGCAGGATCCAGATGCAAAAGAAGCGGATACGTATTACGGAATGAGGAGTACGGTTGCATTTCCAATTAAAGGCACCACAAGTGAGTTCATTTCTACATTTACATTATCTCAAAGTCATGCAGAAAATAATCTAATAAAATAGCTTTTTCCAAATTCCTCACTGTGGCCCGGCTCAAACGATGCAGTTTCGGAATCTAAAAAGTGTGAAAAAAAAGTACTTATCAATTCTTTCAAAATATATGGAGAAAAATTCAATCCATTACAACATAACAGCAATGCAAAACACAAACTCTTATCGACACAGCGAACAACACTGATTATGGAATTTCTCAGTGCTTCCAGGAACAGTGATTTCCGTCTTCATCCGCTCTTTTTTAAGTTGAACGAAAAGACGATTTCAAAGTGCCACAAGCTTCAGCAGATATTGAATCAGAACTAGGAATCAAACAACCAGATATTCCGGACCGGGAAGTTCAATCAGAAAGCACCCCAGTACAGGAAGACAGTAGACCGGTGGGTTTCTCCATGCAGAATTTTTTTCAAAAATGTCAGAGTAAGTTTCAGTGACCTAGATCAGCTTGAAACGCGTTGGTTACAATGAAAGTAAAGTCAGCACCAAAGAAGATTTAGAGACTTAGGCTTACAAGAAACAAAATGTAGAACATTTCAAAACAAACAGGTAACAATTAGATACGTGATGATGATCAATGTACAAGAACTGAGACAGCCTCAAAACAAACTCCGAACTGCTAGATCTGTGGATTTCCTTCTGTTGTCTCATTCATTCTTCATTTGCATCGGATTTGGATTTGTTAGTACAATTCATATTATCCAATTAAAGGCACCAAAGTGAATGTTATGATCACAACATGAAGCTGTTCATAGCATCCAATACCGACAAAGTTCAGAAGTTAGGCATAAAAAAGTTTAGCCAACTTACGAATCCCATTGTTGCGGATGCTATTGTAAAAATAAACAACATATATACTTCTGTATGACTAAGTATACAACTAATTTAAGCATGTAAACTAAAATACGCGTGAGAAACAAATGTGCGAAAAACCTCGATTCTTCGAGGTTTACATTTCCTCCATCAAAATATGAAAAAACTTGAAAGTTTTCACTTTTTTTTTGAAAATTTCTTAGGATAAGAGGGAAACTGGGAAACATGCATCCCCTACGTGATCACATTTATCTCGTCCTTGAACCATGTGCATTCATTCTGATGTGTATACAATTACTACAACCTCGCAACAGGAATGGATTGAAAATTTCACCAATGAGGCAGAAATTAGCAGAAGTCAAAAGTATTTCCAAAAAAACTTCATACACACGAACTTTCACCGACGTTTCTTCGATGACGAAGAACTTTCATCTGCACCGCCATCAGCTGTTCTCTTTTTCAATTCTTTACCTGATTCTTTAGCTGACTGCAGCAATTGGCCAAGACCGAAAATATCCTCCTCCTCCTTTTCAAACTGGAAATTAAATTACAGAGTGAATAAAATCTAAAATTTCAGAGGAGTAATGAAGAAAAATATCTGCATATCTTCTTTAAATTATGTTTAGAATACAACTTTGCTCAATTTCTCATTTTATTTTTCAGGCTTTCATTCGAAGTAAAAAGGACGTATTCGTGTTTTGAAATTCGAAATGAAAAAGATTAGGCAAAAATATTGCGCAAAATATGTTTCTAATTCCAATAAGCTTTTGTGCTGCTCAAAGAACCGGTAAAAACATAAATAATTTAAAAACTGTTGTAAAGTGAACAAATATTCTCTAGTAAAAAAAATCCGAGAAAAATTTTTGAGTGCATTAATTGGATTCACTGAAAGAAAATTTACGCGAAATAAAAGTTGACTCCTTATCCCTCCTACAGAAAAAACTCGATAAGAAAAAAAGGATGATGTTATTTGGAGAATAATAGGAATGAATAAGACAAACCTCGACAGGTCCAGCATTGCGTGCTGCTCCAGGTTCGGCACCGCTAAATCCCTTATCAGGAACGAATCGGTTGGTACTAATAATACGATCCAAATCATCGCCGTAAAGATCTTTATCAAGATTTTTGCCTGCAACAAATAGTTCTTAAATTCCAAGCATCTCGCAAACATTTTTCATATTTAACTCATACTTTTCGCCATTTGAATATTGAATTAAAGAATCAAATTTCCCTACGAATGTAACTCACTCGGTCGATAAATGTGTTGCTGAATATTGTCCTGAGCACGCCACGGTTTATCATATGCGCTGTATGTTTCATCATCAATACCACCACTATCTAATCCCTGAAAAAAGCCACAAAAAGTGCTAAATCTTCATACTGATCAAAAATTTTCAACAAAATTGAAGGTTTACTATAGGGGACAACAAAATTAATGCCCAAAGAATTGTGCTAAAATCTAAAATGGAGCTAAAATCCACGAAATTAAAAAACCTTAGTTTGATCAAAAAGTCGCTGATCAAATTGCGTTTCGTGATGTCTTGTTCGAGCATCAGGCAAACCAAGTGCAATTTTCTCGCTGATATCCCGCTCACGACCCTTCTTAAACCTATCCAACTTATCTGGATTGTTTCGCGCGATATTCCTTTCACGACGATGTTCATCTAAGCGATCACGCCTTCAAATAACACGAAAAATTAGATAAATCCTAAATTCTAGTTTCAGTTATTTACGCACGCTGCCTTAGAAAGCAGTTCTACTTGAAAATCTGCAAATAATTTTACGCTAAATTGATTAACCAACCTAAAACACAGTAACATTACCCCTTGGACAACAAATTTGAAAATGTTATTGTCCTGGAAAGGTATGATGGTGTTAGGTCGCTTGGCATAATTTGATTTCCATTGATACTTGAAATGTCGCAGGCAAAAAAAAATGTAAGGATCAATAAAAGTATTTAATGTACCTGATTTGATCACGTTCACGAGCTTCTTGGTTCGCTGAATCACCTTCATGCGCTTTCTTGAGTACAGTACGTTCTTGCCTATAACATATTATTAATTTAAAGCCATGATTACACAGCATACAATAGCATGAACATATTAAATATGTATTGCGTCATTTCTGTTAATTGAATTATTAGAAATCATCATGCGGTAATAGTTTCAGACAGCCTATTACATGAGAAAGTTCATTGCCTTTTACATTTTCAGACAATGTGAGTTCTAAAAAACGGTACTTCTAATACCAATTAGCTATTAATAGATATTGTTTTAAAATTAAAACAAACCTGGCTTTTGCAGCCATAGCTCTCATCTTTTCTTCCTGCTCAGCCTTTTTATTTTGGGCAACACGGCGTTCCATCTGTGCACGAGTTTCGACAGCTTCACGAGCTGTGCGATCAGCCAAATATAATGATTCCGCTAACTTCGCAAAATTTTCATTGATATGTACCTTTAAAAGATATAACGATGGAGTTTTTCATATGGCGACTAAAAACTAGATTTGCGGTGCTTCCGTTTAATAAGTGTTTAAATATCTATGAATGTCAAACCTGCTGCAGGCCTCTTCCATCAGCAGCCAATCGTTTATCCAGTGCAATAGTAAATCCTGAAATATCCTACAATAAAATACTTCGTAATTAAATATGTTGCTGCTGTTTATGACATACATTTATTACATGATAAATGGCATGAATGTTAATCAATAAGTGGAAATAATACAGCAAAACATTGACTCTCATATATTAATTATTCCCACATTTCTTTTAAAACACATTTCTTTTAAAAGAAATAACAAATCACCTTTTGGATTTTTCCAATTCGATATACATGGTGGAATTTTCCAATCAGCTTGTTCCTTGACAGTTGTCTGGAAAGTAAAACAATATTTCATACTTTATAATCTGTGAAAAAATTTTTGAACTTCGCTAGTGCAAAAATCAATGAAATTAAACTAAAAAATTAAGCTATTTTGACTTTTGGAGTAATACAGAACTAAGTGACAAAACGAAAAAAGAACCTTGCGAGGAGGCGAATGCATTACAGGGGCTGGAGGAGATGGAGGAGCACGTGGTATTTTCTGATTGATCCTGAAATGGAGTAAGTTATAATACTATCACTGAACAGCAGCGATGATTAAGTTCATCAATTATATCACATAATTTCCCTAAACTCACGTCAATATTTTTGTAATATCACTTATTTTATTATAATGTACATTCTCATAATCTATGATCGTGACAATATATACAGTACTTAAGTATAACAATAAATCTTAAACAATAAAAATATAAAAACAACGTGCTTAAATTTTGGAGGTTCCATTGGGTCTTGCTGCACTTCAACCATGCGAATAATTCGCTGCTGAGCGCCACTGTTATGCCCACCACCTTGTTGACTTGGTGTATAACGTATGTACTGCACTGGATCTGGTTTTTGTGCATGACGAACAGGTAAAGCACTTGCAACCTAAAGAAAATAATGAATAATCGAGAAAAACTTTTACTAAATTTTATAAATATACACTTTAAAATCTAGAAATTCCTACTCACATACAAATATATAAAATTTATACTTTCGTCGAAGTAATCTTTTCCAATGCCAAACGAGTAGCTTCAGTCTGCTGTGCAATTGTTTCTTCATCCGGTTTTTGGAATGATTCGTCTTCTTCTTCTAACATTTTTGGTTTCATATCAGCCAGTCTTGTATAAATTATCTGCAATTACGATTATAAATTATCCGCAATTACGGAAGGAGATGCTGGTAATAGCCCACAATTTAAGTTGCGAAACTAGAAACAGTTTTTTTAAGAAAATTAAGCTTCTTATGAAAACAGTTGACGCAATAAAAACTAACAATTGATAGCAATATAACTGATTCTGCAATGAATGTCACGGAAAAAAATTTGACGTACTTTATCCTTTGAATGCCCAATTCGTACAATTGCATCATGCCTTAGCTTTCCCTCTGCATCACACTGAAGCGCAACTGTTTTATCGTTGCTAGCCCTTTTGCGCAAATCCATCCCCATGCCTGAGTTAGACTTTCACTAATCCATCTTGCCTTACAAAAAAACTACGCAAAAAAATCTCAGAGCAAAGAGAATTCAGAAAGTTATGGGATCAAATTCTAATTCAACCCCACTCATCCCTTTTTTGAGCAAAGAAGATGCGGATATCACATGACTGCAGTTTAGATTATTTAAGAAAATTTTCTGTCAGAACAATAGAACAAAAGAAATATAGACACCTAAAGGAAACTGCGCCACAAGTATCTCGGGAAACGCTCCACCATCACCGAAATCCTGTAAAAAGACTCTGTTGATTGTAAGAAGCAGTTGAAGAAACTTCGGCAAAATAACTGATATTACAATTAACTACAATAAGAATAGTTAGTTACTTCCGCACTCCTCGGTATCCAGCCATTCCTTTTGCCATAAGGTGGTGGCTCTTTCAGTACCACAGCTCCAATACTATCGCCTTTCAACGCATCCTAAAGCAGAAACTATATTTTATGCAGTGCTTTGAGAATTTATGCGAAAATTTCAGTTTCTATTGCCTTTTGCGCTCATACAATACGTTAATCGCAAAGGCAACAGAAACCAAAAATTTTTTTTTTAATATGACAGTTGTTCAGTGCAACAAGCTGACTACGTGTTATATGCGACAAAATTGACGAACTCACTTCCCGTCCTTGAAACCATGGGTCGCGACGAATAGAGGACCATTCATCTGATGTAGCTGATGGAGGTGGAAGTATGCTGTAATGGTAATATTTACATATTATAGGAATAAATGAACAGTGAAGTCAGCCGAATCTGAAAACTAAGCATTTGCCACACTAGTTTTTGAATTTTACATAGCTATAATTTAGTCATAATCAGAATAAAAATTATAACCGACCAAATATAAAGAGATAAAGGAACTTGCTCTGACCTTTAATCTTAAGTTTAAATAATGAATATCATTAAATCCTGCAATTCTGGCCCATTTTCTAAAGGATGTCGAAAACTATGTGTTCAAAATATGTGCAAAAAAGAAACATGGAATAGAAAAGAAAAAACATACTCGGCGAGTTTTACTGACATCCTTTTTTGAGCTATCGTCTCTTGAAAACACAAATAAGCACTAAAACAAAGTACATATATGTGTATATGCATATGCACGACATAATTTAATCGCACTCTTTACGACGACCGAAATGCTACAACAAAAGCAAATGCAAAAATCCTCCCCTCGTGGCAAACTTAAAATATCCAACAACTAACCCATCTAAAAACACTGAACGAAATCTGGCAGCATGCCAACTGGATTGTTGACACACTTCAGTGGACTATTCTGATTGGAGCAATGTGAAAAGATCGTTGTATCAAGCAGTATTGGAATTATAAAATCACGTTGCTAATATGAACAACCAATTCATTCGTTGCATATATTAATGTGAACAAACTTTGATTATATTTGATTCATTTCTGAGATTAATTCAAGTGAATCATCGCGATATCTCCTTACTTAAATCTAAATTTAAAAGTAGATGTTTGGAATGGTTGATCGCTTCGGACAAAAAATTCAATTATTCTTCATGCCATTTTCAAAGACATCACAGCTTAACTTGTAAAGTATTTTTTGAAAAGTAAATAGGTTCCATTGCCACTTACTAACGAGAGCAAAAAAATATATATAATTATAATTGTAATACAAATGCGAAAAACACTGGCAAAATAATCAAACATCATAAGCTTTATCTGTTACATCATATATACAACGTTACCATTTGAATGGTTTAGTTCAGAAGACAGTTTGTTCTTCACTTACCTTCACGTAATTTTTCACGTAGAGGATACTTTCTTTATGTTTGTCCAGAAATATTTCTTCTTCATGAAATTAAACTGGGCAACTTAGCATTTCATTTGATGGTTATAAAGAAAAGGGAATACTGGTAGTAGTAGCATTAATGATTCAGAATTTAACAGATGATTAAGAAAGATAAAAACTATAGCCGTTGATCATCATATCGTTTAAAAATAACAAAAGAACAGTGAAATTCTCAGGGGATTTGATTTTTGACCTCTCTAATCATATCTTATTATAAATGTAACGAAAAACGATCCGCAATATTGGATTTCCTACAGTATTATGTTATCAGCGATGTTTCTGGATATTTGCAATTTCTGGAAACAATCATCTAGCAACTCCTATTTTCGATTATCTTTTATGCTGTATGGTATTATCTAAAGCAAGACCGGTATCGGTCAATCATTTTCATAGGGAAATGAGAACACTTGTTGAGTTTAGTTTTGTCACACTTCTCGAAACTGTCGACAATATTTATCACTCTTTTAATTTCTTACAGAAATACAATTATTACTAATCAGTTGAAATGTTCAAGCATGGAAAAATGTCTATACTACTGATTGCAATTTATTTATAACTTTCCTAAAATAAAAAAAATAAACGAAATTTGGGAACTATAGGATAACATCATCATTTTTTATACTGTTGAAGCTATGAGTTTAAATATTTCTTAAGCATAAGTTCCTGCAGGTAATCGGAATAAATAAACTTAATCAATAAGGTTTGGGCAGACTACCGCCCAATATTTTCCTGATCTGTCATGATCATTTCGGATAAAACCATGAGATAAAAACGAAATTATTGAAGATTCGGTATGCCTGCACAGAAACAATCGAATGCTATTTTGATCATAAATAATTGAAAGAAAAAATTTCCCCTGTAACGTTGAATATTTTTCCCTGTATCGTTGAATGTGCAGCAGGACATAGCTGGATTATTTCATGCAAAGGTCGAACTTTTTTATACTTCAATAAATCCTATGGATGACATCTGCGCTTGCAATAGCCAACTACCCTTAAACCACATTCATAAAACCTTATGTTCAGTAAAAAAAATTCCCCTCAAAATTTTGACGGAAAATCCAACTGCAAAATAGATGCCCAATTCATAATCTCAAATTTAACTTTTCATTTTCTCCATTTTAAAATATTTTCATTCAATATCATAGTATCATCACTTAACTAACTTCTTCTCTCTATAAAATGACATCCGGAAACTTTATTATGGTTGGGAAAAATTACAAAAAAAGAAAAACATTATCGCTCTAATGTTTTGAGTGATACTACTGAATCATATTCCGGTTTTCAGATAAAACAACCAAAAAAATGAAGATGAAAATAAGTTACAATGTATGCGTTGAACATCTCTTATTTAAAAAAAAAAAACGATAGTTCAAGAAGGAATCCTCTAGTAGTAACTTTGCTTTAAAAGTCACCAAATTTCACACTTTCTGTGTAATTAATTAATCCGAAGCATCCTAAACCGACAAACAAGAATACCATGAAGAATGCTGTACACATCACCGGGATTTTTGTAACACATAATTATTTCAAACCATGTATAATATTTTATAGTACATACACAGTGACAAACACACACACACACACATAGAGAGAGAGGGAGAGAAAAGAACAGAGAGCTAATCGTAATGCTAAACACAGAACAAAAATGAAAATATTTTGAAATCGAGAAAAGGCTGCCTGATTTTCTTTTTCAAGACCACAAAATTAAACACAGTGAAGAAAAAAACAAACAAACAGAAACAGAGAACAAGATGACAGATCTCTCTATCAACAGATTTTGATATCGCAATTATCCAGAAATTCCCGTTTATTTTTCACTTCGAATCACCTACCAATAATACCAGATCATAGTAATTGGGATATTAAAAAGATAATGAGTTACGGAAGCACAAGCTAAATGTGCTGTCACAAGGATTCAGCAAAAGAGTCAAGTGAAAATCACTTAAATCTTAATAGTAATCTGAAAGACCCCTGTTCATTTAATTACACGTTTTAATCTATAAAACTGATTAACACCATTTTTTTTCTTAATAAAATATAGGGTCTAAGAAATGGGAAGAATCTCTGAAAAGCAGATAAAGATAGTATAAGGCTGAAATATACAAAGAGAGGAAGAAAACTAGCGAATCTAATCAAACAACAAAAAGGATCCTTTCTTTCAATCCTGCCAACTGCAATCGACTAAAAAGTTGGCAAGATTGCTTAAGTTAATTGGAGGCATAAGATAAACCTGGTTGGAATTCAGAACTTCAGTTTCCCAATATTACATAATTATAAAAATGGAACGGAGACAAACTGAGCTTACTTAATAAGAGAAGTTCCCTTGAATCTTAACAAATGCTATTATACGAGGCCAAATTTCCGGAGTCTATTCACCTAGAGATTTATTTAAAATTTGGCTTCACTTAGCTTTAAAAGTTCTCGAAGTTTTCGGGAGAATTCCTAAATAGGCGATTTATGGTACCGTCAAAAAAAATTCATCGAATCCAAAAAGTGACAAAAAATTTAAAGGTATACTACAAATTTTCCCTGAGTTGACAAAAAATCTGCATCTAAAACTTATGTAACACATTTTCCACATGAATAAACAGGAAAGAGTAGAAAGAATTAAAATATTTCCACCGGTTCACCAAAAAAGAAGCAAACGAAAAATAAAACACACAGCTCTACTATACATGAGGCAGCAAAATTATATCACTTTAAGGAAGTATCTTCTTGCAGATAAACAGAAAATTAGAGAGACAAAGAAGCCTTTAAATAAAATTCAAGCTTAAGAAAATGGGAGATTTTTCAAATAATCTCCGGTAAATATAGCACATAATGATGTATCATCATTAAATGATTCCTTTCTTTACGAAGAAATAATTATATAATAAGCTAAAAAAATTTCAATTAAATGGCTTCGAAGAGTAACAGAGAAATATAGGAAAATTATGTGCATGATGAATATGAAACCGGGAACATACCATATTCAAATGATACACACAAATGAAACAAAATAATGCAAAAATTTCTCTTTTGTAATAAAAACTAACCGGACAATTTTCACCACTCGGATTTGAGAAAAAAGAAAACCATTGAAATATTACAGAAAATTACATTGAATGAAAAAAATCTACGCATAAATTACTGTATGTAACCGATGTAAGGCCATATATATCATATCTTAAAAAAATAGATTTTAACCACGAATAAGCTGATACTGTTATAAACTTATATGACGAAATTAATTTGCTTCAACTATGTAAGGATAGTTGTATGAATATTACGATCAACTATATATGAGCTAATAAATTAATACCGCACATTATTGTAACGGTAATAATATCTATACGTTTTAATTAATTCAATTCACTTACAGCTTATTCGAAGCTAAATAAAATAAGAAATACAATGTGTATACATATATGTATATGCAAATCGTATATATTGAGTAAATTGTACTAAGGAGAGAGAGCACTGGAAGTACTGCGAATAGAGAAGTTTTGCAAGAATAGAAAGCAGTTGAGAAGGTATTTGTTCTCCTGGGAAGAAACCAAGAAAATAGAGATTGTTATTTAAATTGATTGTTCCTTCATTAGTGCAAAATAATAAGTGATATCATGACGATAACGCGGCAGTCTCCTGAAAAAATAATAAACCATGCCGTTTTTTGCAAATCATAACTATACAAATGAGCTACAAGTGTTGCATGCTGCAGCGATGACAAGTACTGAAAACATGAATTAAAAATCGCATGAATTCTTTCCTAGATGGGAAGAAAGAAAATGAGGATGGTTTACAAGTAATCTAACACCTTCTCTTGACTTACTTAAACTTTCTAGTTCCGTTATTCTTTGTGCTGACTCCTTTACTTAGCAATCTATAAAATCACTGTGGATAGATCCCACACTAAACTGTCTACTGGATCATTTATTAAACAGTAGCAGTGAGTATGAATAGGTCTTATCAAGCTTATTACTTCAAACTTTCGCCACTCAATTGTTCCTTGCCAAGTATTGATGTCTCTACCCAAAAAATGATTTTATTTTCTGCAAGACTCACAGCTTTCGAAAATGCTAAAGATAATTAGTTTTCTCTAAGTTACCGAAAACCATCCCTCAACGTGATTAAAAATTTAAAAAATGGAAATAAAAAAGCAAGATATTGTCATACAGCGAACAGTCCACTATAAATATTTTAGGCAAAAAGTAAGGCTTCCCAGTACCTGTTTCAGAAGAGTTTTTTGCATATCAGAAAATGATTCACATTCTTCAACTATCATTTCCTCGTCTTCACCTCCTCCAGCAGCACCACCAGTACCTCTGCTGTCTTCTTTTTCAGTAGGAAGCATCATGCCATTACTACTAATACGATGTCCATCACTAGAACTAATACCTGCACCACTTGTTGGTGTTGGAGCTGGAGTTGGATTACGATTCACGTTCATTGCCTGAAAATACAAGAAGTTATAAAAACAAAAAAGAAAAAGAAAAGAACTAAAAACATGCAGTATTTGTTACCATACTTCTACTATCTCTTCTGTGAAAAATAACTCCGGAAATCATTCTAGATTAAAACTCTAAATGCAGAAAGCTTAAAGACTACTCCATGTGCTATAAGAGCAAAAAATTCTCCACCATTCTAATGTACAAGTAATTAGACCTGTAACCAGTTGAGGACGATTTTATTGCTTTGAGTGATATTTGGCGGTAATTGTGAGCCATTTAAAGATACACTGGAAAACGCAAGCAGTGATGTTGCATCAGCTAGTGTTGATGCTGTTGCAACGGCCACCTTGTTTGGACTATCTATTGCTGCAATTTCAATGAATATCAACAAGACGATATCAGTATTTCGAAATAAGACTATGATAATCATTCTGCTCAGAGAAAATGAGCTAACGATATTAAAATAAATCCTCGTTTAAATGGTTCTTATCAACAAAGATCACCATGCACAGTTGAATGGAGAGAAAGATGCACTGGGAAAACTAAGAGTTTTTCCGCTATGAATATAGAAAAAAAAAAACAAACTGTTTGAGGCCTCAGCGGGAGAAAACTGTTGATTATTCTCACGATTTTGATTATTTGCAACGACACATTTTCGCATATGTTTCTCAAGTGTCGAGTGCACCGAAAACGGCATTTGACAAATGTTGCAGTGGTAAGTTTCCTGCAGAAAAAAAAATATATTTCATAGCCGTGAGACTTCTTCTCGATAAAAAGGCATAAAACAAGTTGATGCTTTCCTTTTGGAAATTCCAGGTCATGAATGAAATTCTTTGAAATCAAGAAAGTCCTTGGAAAGTTTATACTTGAAAATCAATATTATATAAGATACGATAGGACAACGCAATTTTCAAATAGCTAGATAGTAATAAACAGAATTTGCATGAATTATTCTCAGTTTGGTATCAAAATTAATGAACTGATTACAAACCTTTCCCTGTTGGCCATGAGTTCTCATATGCCGAGTCAATTTACTACTTTGTGCGCAAGCATATGAACACAGTCGACATTTATAAGGCTTTTCTCCAGTATGGCTTCGTAAATGGACAATCAGATTAGAACGATTCGTGAAAACCTTGAAACACAAAAACACTAATAAACCAAGTTTAACAAATCTGGAATGGATTACAAAAAAAAAAAAACAATAAAATAAGTTGTCAGTCTCACCCTTCCTATGATGAGTGAAGGTCAAATTCTAAAAATGCCATGTAGTCGTAAATCAGAGCTAAAGACCAAAAGATGAGCGTGAGACATAACGCGGTTTGATATTGAAGTTAAATTTTCGAGTTAGGGCAATTCTTTTTGTTAGTGTTAATAATTTGAATTAATTCAACTTTTTAAAATAGAAAATTTGCCAACTTTGCAACAGAATGTGCAGCGATCCTTTTTAGCATTTGTATCACGACGTGCAGCTGGCTCAGCGAATGCTAGATCATCGCCCTCCACAACATTTAACAAGGTCGATTTTGTATCTTCATTGCTGGAACAAAAACACAAAGAAAGTAACCATTCATGTTGACAATTAAATCGGATCGTAGAAAAAAGAAGAAAATCAGGAAAATGTGTTTCTTTTACTACTGCATCTTTCCGTAAAGTACTTTTGGCAGTTTTATTCAAAAATGAAGGACTTTTCTGACAGGATTCATTTCCTGATCATAAACTTTCTTTCTTCTACGGCCCTTGTCCGATTTTTCATGAGAACAGAAATTAATCATGAAATTGCTATTAAAACTTCCTTCCTTTAAATTTTACAAAATTATTTCTTTGGGTAAAGATATAAAGAATCCAGAGGATCACTACTCCATAAAGATTTCGATATATTTCAAGGTTATCAGTGCAAAAGAAGTTCGTATTTATAAACCTCTCATCATCGAGCCTCGACAATTTATTGTGCAACGGAGCTCCAGATGATGTTGCTGGCGACAAGGTTTCAGAACCGTTATTGGACGACCGCTGTCTTTTGCTCCCAAATGCCCCTAAACCATTCCAAGGTCCTTGCTTCACACCTGGACTGGACAGTTGATCTTGTGTTGTGGTATCGGACCTACCAAAACCAGCTAATCCAAGTGATTGTGTTGCGGAATTTGGTGCTACAGGTGACGGCTCTTCAGGACTGCTGTAAGAGAAGTGATTGAAAACTCGGCATTGATCTTTTATACTATGAGATAAAGAATATTTTCCTCCCTTTCCTATGCAAAAAATTTCTACTCAAAGGCAATTAAAATTGTTAGTTACTACGACAAAAGTTGCACTGCCTTAATGAATCACAACGATTTTCAATCCACAGATATTGATGAAAAAAACAACCTTGTGATTTTGGTGATTGCATTAAAAGCACTTCCATTGTTATTCGTAGGAGTAACTGACGGACTCCCAGCACCAAGCAAATAAGATGCTGCATTATTCAACGAAAATTGTGCATAATATTCCTGCATCAACGCCAGCATATTTGGTATATTCGGTTGCATCCATAAATTCTGCAAATTAAAGTGAATTGAAGTTAAAAAATAACTTGATTATTAATATTGTTTTTTTTTTTTTTTAATTCTGGCTATGTTTTTCAAGTACTCTTATAGCCTGAAAATTTTTCGTTTCGCATCACTTTCTATTCTCTTATGTTCATTTATATTGCAAAGGATCTATTTTTATACTTTCCCTATTTGCCATTTTTTTTCCAATAAAATTACTTTCGTTTATTTCTCATAAGCCATCTGCAGTCAATATCGGTTTAGGAACCTGAATAGTCTAACCTGCAAGGAAGGCTGTTGTTGCTGCTGTTGTTGTTGTTGCTGTTGTAAAGCAACTGCAGCTAATGTAGCAGCGGTAAGTGAATTGGAAACATTATTGAGAGCTGAACCATGAAGAAATGGTGTAGTTGAAGCAGTCGCTGATGCGATACCATTGCTCGCATGTTCTTCATCGGTATTCTCTGACTGTTGTGTTCTGGAACAATTGACAGCCATTATCTAATTGTCAGTAACTGCCTATATAAGCATTCAATTGTAGTGTCTTTAGCCACCACCACATCACTGGACAAAAATGAAATAGAAATTTGAATTTTCGGTACCTTTTAATATTGGTAGCTTTTATATGTTCGCTAGTTTTCGACGATATCGCACTTTGATTTACTACATGACGTAAATCAACCAATGGTTCTCCTGAATATAAAACACATTTTTTTAGTTTTCAGAAAGTCATTGTTACGCATTGTATATTTGTGTAATTATCATGTCGTGTTCAACATGAAAAAAGATGTTTAGGTTTAGGATATAGTAGAGCACAAGTATAAAATTATTATGTATACTTGAAGTATACACCCAAACACTTTAATGTTTCTTCTTTATACTTGAAATAATGAATGCAGTCACTGGAACAAGCACTCAAAAATTATTTTGCTCGAAGTAATTCCACACTACGCAAGCATACCTGCTTTTTCAGCGATCTCTTTTAATCGTTCGGAGCAAAATGCATTCAGACTGAAGCCACCTTTACCTGAATTATACACCAATGATTGAATATAGTTTTGCAAGTTCTGAAGAAAGAAATTTGAGCGTTGTAGAACATTTGGAAACTATCATTCTTTTATTTAAATCTTAAAAACTTTAGAAAATGTTGCATACGGACCGTTTAGTTTGTTTTTCGTAGTGGAAGTGGTGAATGGACTTGCGAATGTGAGAGGTGGTGGATGTATTGATGTTTTTGGTGCTAACAACGACGACGATGATGAAGATAACGATGAGGTAATTACCGTTGATTTTGGTAGTTCCGTTCGAGGCATACATGACATTTCCTCCTGAAGATAATACATGCAAACATGTTACTGAAATAAAATCAACTAAATTTCAACTAAATTCTAAATTTATTAAATTCAACTAAACTAATTAAATTTATCAACTAAATTCAACTAAAAATCAACTAAATTTACTAAATTTTTTCAATTATTGCAGAAGTATTTTATTAAAAAAATTCCAATATGTAGGCTTTCAGAATCATGATTATCATAATTTGAAACAATTCTGATATTAATTATCTAAAAGCAACTCAATGAAATCTACATTTCAGAAAATAGACTTGATAGATTAAATTATCCATATGATTATTCAGTTGTAGGCTGTACTTTCTCCTTCTTTATAACACCATCATACAAGAAGTGTACGACAGCACCAAGATGGCATAATTTGACAAGCTACAGAAGACTGATATATATGCTAAGTTAAAAAAGTTGGAAGAAAAAAGATGACCTCACAAATCCGAAGGCCATGAGCGATAAAGACATGTTTCAGCAAACTCCAAACATCACTGCAGACATGTTTACAAGAGTGACAAGTTAACGATCCTTCTCTAATCGAAGACACATTGCTTTGTTTAGCATCTGAAAATGATTTACATTAATTTTCATAATGATCATTACTGTAATATGCACAAAATAGCCAATGCATTTTCCCGCATGATCCATCGAAGACCAAATACTAATTTATTAAAAATTACCCACCAAAACTGTAACTTTATTACAGTAGCTATCATCATATTGATAATCAAGCCGTAGTGTTTTTTATAAATATAAATATTACTGAGGAAGAATCTTAATGTCTATCAATAATTAATTACTTTGTCTCTTCTTAAACGTAGTGCGTATGGCTCTGATTATTCACCATTCATATATCACATACATATTACTTAAGTATACTCATTTCACAGCATCCAATAATGCAAACAGCCAGCAAACAATGATCCTCTAATAACTACTTCTATACATAATCTAACCAGGCATTCAAAAAAGGTTCGAAGCAATTAAACTTATAGAAAAGTGTTGCAGATCCAACAACACTACTTTCTAATGAAATAATATGTAAAGAAAGCAATTTGCAGAATTACAGTAAAGCATATAAATAAAATAATTATATATCTACAATTGATTAACTCATCTACTCATTTGGGATAAAATCTAGTTTTGCAAAATAAGTATAAAAGCTTGAATTTTTGCAAAAATATGAAATGCCTGATTTATTGTCTATTCCCTGACAGTATTGCTTTAATCCATTTTTCTTCATAATAACTACTATGAAAAACTTACCTGTAATATCAAGCAATTAGTCAAAAACTTCATCTTACTCTACCATGTAATAAATATATCCATATTTTAACAAAATTCTAACTTTGTCAAAACTCTTTCAATTTCACAAGAATTACATTTTATTGTCAATATCTACGGTTTTTTCTCTTCCTCTCTTCATCTTTTTATTAATGCAAAGTGAATCCGTATCCAAATATGGAAGGAAATACTGCAATGGAAAATGACCGTAATTTTCAACAGAAGTACACAACATACATACAGACACACCTGTACAGGTAATCCATACACAACTAGTATGAGATATCACAGAGATATTTTCAATAAGGTAAATGTATGTATGTTTTATAATTATTTAAATTTAACTAATGCATAATATAAAGATACTTCTCTCACTCTTTCAAGGCTTTCATTCATATTTGAAGTGGTGTTAAATTGACAGGAAGACAGATATAGAGGAAGATGATGATAATAATCAAACAAATACTCTCCAGGGCTAATTATCTGTAAGTTACAAAAAAGAAACGAATTTCATTTCTTTGAAAACCAGTTTTTATTAAATAAATAAACAAAGCATCTATTTCTTTGGGTCATTTTTATTCGACATATCATCACAATAAGCTTTTTTTCGCATAACTTTCATGGGAAAACTATTGTTCGGGGATATTATCACAAAGATGATAAATCAATATTCCTATCCTTATGCATTATTATCTTTGTCTAATAATTGCTTCATATATTTCCCATCTTTCCCAAAAGTGATGATGCCGTACCCTAATATTTTTTGTAACAAACGGCTTTTTCAAACTACCAATCTTTGTAACAATTTTAGAACTCAAACTGAAGACAGAGAAAAGTGCTAATACTTATCGATAAATGAATGACAAGGAATATTTCACTTCATATTTTATACTTAAATATTAAAATTATATGCAATTCTTTAAATATTTCTGAAAATGTGCAATGCTAATATCCTAAATTAACCTGTAATGCATTAATTAACCTATAATATCGTCTTTTTGTTTCTATAATTAAAGATAGAAATTTTGCTCGTACGTTGACGTTTGCATCATAAGTTTTCAAAAAAAGCAAAGTTATAAGTTATTAGAAGTTATTAGCAGAATTCATTAGCTAACTATAAATTATTAGTTATAAGTTATTAAGTTATTAGAAAATCTATATAAATGAATATGTATTGTCTTATAATATAAACCTTATAAACAAATCCTTATAAACAAAAAATCCTTATCAATAATCTTACTTTGGCAGTTTAGCAAAAAATAATGAATAGTGCTATCTTCGCCCGCAAAATATTGATAAACTTATCAACACATTTCAATTTTTTCCCGTAATATTTCTTATTTAATCTTTGTGCACTATTTTTTCTATGAATTTAAAATCAGTAATTTTAGTCATGAAAAAAATATAACTGGTCCGCGTTCAACAAAATGGGATTGGTCTGTTGCGCAATATCCGGTCTTTCCAATGATAATATTTTGAATGCTGTAAAGGTTATGATCGAATGGTGAAGAAAACTTGTTTTCATGATAAGAGCCAATCACATCCCATTCATCTTCCTTTATTTCTACATATTATGAACGGGAAGAAAAAAAGATGTACCAAAAAGAAACTGAAATGGGCTGCTAGAATGTTTCCAGTCAATCGTTCTTCAAGTATCATAGCAAAACAAAAGAAAGTATAAGAAGATCCAATTAGCAGTAATTAATAGAGTTTTACACTACAATAAAGATAATGATCAAAATATTATCATTTCTGAGAATAGTTATATAAGATTTATCAATTCCAAATGAATCTTCATTTTATTCAATCAATATTACTTTTCTTGCAACATAAAGTAATATGTGAAATATTATAGTTAAGTATATAAATTAAAAAAACATATTTTAATTATGAATTTTTCTTGTAAATATTTTTCTTCCAATTTATAAATGAAAAACTAGTCGAAAAATTCCTAATATTATAACAATTATTTCGTTTTTCCTTTTCCCCTATTGTCCCTAAAATTTTTAACTAACCAAATCCTGTTTTTCGTACAGTATTGCTAAAAAGTCAAGTTACTGCAATTGCACTTTTTTCAAATCTCATGGTTTTAATAATTGAACACCCATCAATTATCATTTATCAATGGAAAGCTATTGATGTAGAGGTAGTTGACATACGATGTAAATGTAAAATAGAGATATGATGATGATGATGATGATGATGATGATGATGCATGAAAGATCTGAGCTAAATTTTATTCATCGAATAACCAAATCGATGATCAATCAGTAGAATCGATCAGGCTTAATTCATTACTTGTTTTACTACTATGCTTTCATTATAGAATAAATCATTTAGCAGTACAGTTAGTTGTTCTATCTGAATAATATTAAATTTTACATAAAATTCAAATTAATACTTTGTTGTTTATGGAGTAATACATAATTAGAGTAATGTATAATTAGGATCAATAATTAGAAGATTAAAGAGAAAATTCAATTCATCTTATATCTACGAATTCCGGTCTAATTTCCCAAATAGTGATTTCATTCAATGAGAAACATTTCACTTTCAAAGCGATGATGTTGATGCAATAGGAGAGAGAGAGAGAGAGAGAAAGAGAAAGGTTAGAGAGAGCAGGACACACACACATATATATATACATACATACACATACATATGACATAACTCCGACATTCACTCTCTAGCATCATTTGTGGACAACTGATTTCCTCTTCCAGTATTTCTCCCTATCGACTATTTCAGATAAAACTATCTCTCTGTAAAGAAACAAATTTAATAATTAAATAAATTTCGCTATACCTGACAGCTTTTCGCTTTTCGTATATTACCTCAATACTATTTTAATTTAATAATTAAATGAGCATGTTGGAAATAACTTTATTCGATACTTAACTCAAATTTTATAATATATTCTGCATCTGTGATACTATTCACTTCTCAATGAAATGACGTTATCATTCTTAGTTATTATTATTATTATTAGTATTCAATCAGACATTTCTTCTCCTAATAACTTGAGACAAGAGAGGAAAGAAATCTTTCACAGTAATAATTTATGCAAATTAGGTAATCGTAACGGCATCTTATTGCTTCGTTAACAATAATGAAAACCAAATAAAGGAAAATGGAAGAATGCCTAATTCATCAATTGTGCAATAATAAAATAGATATAAAGGATATAGGCTGTAAAGGGTGTATCTTTCAGGGCCAAAAGAAAAAATGTCGCATAATGCATGATTTGTAAATTCGGCATAATTTTGTTCGCTAAACAACAAGTAATAAAGTGTGCGATAATGTACTTACCTAAGGTATCCGTATCTGTAGTAGCATCAACCCTGTCGTTACGCTTTTGTTGACTTTCAGTGGTTGGCAACATGAAGGAAGCATTCTGATTATTTCCACATGACGGTGGAATGCAACGGGAACACGTATTACTCAAATCCTGAAAATTAGTCTCCAATTAGTTCGATCTCATAGGATCTTATAATTAGATCTCAGTTAGATCTTATAATATAAAAAGACTAATTTAACCAAAGCAGTGTATACAACAAGTAACAAGTTATGACTAGAAACAATAGATGCAAGTAGATTATAAAAACTACTCAACATGATAGAGTAAAGTACTTACTGCAGTTGGATGGCGACAACTGACCAGAAGTCGTCGACGATCAAGACGAAGGGTTTCACTGGATGGATGGGCTGGTGATATATTAGCAAGAAACTCATCCAATGGTGTTCGCTTACTATCACAGCGTGAAATCTTGAATGATAACAATTTACATATACTTAAATATCTAACAATATGTTTTTTAAAAGTTTAACGTTGATAATGCAAATTCAAAATATTCTTACTAAACTGTCTTGGATTACCAGGTACCGCGGTAAATCTTCACCTTCTAAGACTTCCATGGTACTTAGTACTCGGTATCTTGTGAGTCTTATTTAATGATTTATCGGGCAACAGCAAATTTAGTCAGGTGTATCTATAATGAATATTTCAATTGAATATACCTTATGCTCAACGAATTCCACGAATGTCGATAACGAAAATTCGGCATGACAGTCACCACAAACGATACGATCATAATGGATAGAACTTCTGGATTGTGGCACTGGAGCGATATCATCGCTACAGTTCTCACTAGGTGAAGCTTCCTCATCGTCGCGCAATGTTGTCATATCTTTCATCTCGTGATCCACTTCGATACACGAATCAATGCCACTATCAGTGGATGCCAAAGGTATGCTTCCTTAATTGATTATTTAAATGCTGAGCTCATAGTAAAAGGCTTCCATTTTGCTTCGATGATTAATTCATTTTCAAAGAATTATTACTAATTATTCAGATATCACTTAATTATTTAGAACTCATGCTTAAGGAAGCAAAACATTTTATGACTTGTTTAAGCATATGGTATTAGGTTCATTAAATATTTTTTGATGTAACCTTATTTTCCAAAAAACGAAAAGCAAGACTTACCGTCAGATTTATTCATGGCTGCAATGGATGGAGTGGAGTGAGTGAAATCATCATATACTTTCGACAAGAACAATTCACTTTCATCCGTAATATTAGCAGTGCTACTAACGATAGCGGTAGTAGTAGTACTACTACTACTAGTACTAGATGTTTGCTGCTGATTATTACACTTGCCGATTACGGAAGTATTCACCGTTCTACCACGTTCTGTCATCCTCTCTACTTTTACGGCACTACCATCATGATCATCACCATTCACCGCACCTTCTTTAGCCGCTACCGGAATCAGCATTGGCCGGCCTAGTGCAGGTTTACGTCCACGCCTGTTATAATTTAAATCATCAGATTTTAAATATTTGTAAATTTTTTGAAAAACCGAAGAACTTTACGATAAAAAATTTTGGTGATTGTCATTTTCCTCTAAGAAATTAACCAATTCAAAGTAATAAAAAATGCTGCATGAATTCGGATAAAATTTTGTGGAACACGAAATTCAATTGAAACTTAAAATCTCAGTTATCATAATAAACAGCTGTAAGTTAAAGCAATGCATGCGTGATAAAGACTAATTATTGGTGTTAGAGGATAGGAAGTTTATCCCTTCAATTTTCCAAGACAAAAAGAAAATAAGCCCGAAGCAGAACCTCCAGAGACTGCCCAGTTGATGATAAACACAAGAGTATACTCCGTGATGAATCACTTTATTTTAAAAGAAAAAAATCTTCAGAGAACAACGCGTTTATTTTGTAACTAACGTCAAATATTTGTAAAACCTCAGGAGAAATTATTGAAAATACGCTGAAACAAAAAACATCCATAGTGCTACTTATAATTTAAGAATTTATTTTTTAAAATCTATACCATATTATAAGTATTAAAATAAAAACTCACTTTTTCGGTTCATTGATTACCGGTACATTAAGCGTATCTGCTGCCTTTGAAATTGCATTAATAGCAGGAGGAGCAGTAGAGGTGGTAGCTATCGTAGCAGTTGAATTGTCATTTCTTTTAAGAATTTTCGAACAATTTCGAAGGCCACTGCTCATTAAGGCAAATGAATATACAACGAATGTGAATATAGTATAGAAGGAAAAATAACCACTCAACAGTAATTGGAATATAAGCAAACAGAAATGATTGATTGATAGCACTAAGGTATTTTGTAGATTTATGTAAATTTTTCCACACTTTTTTTGGGGAGATTTTATACAATGGACCTGATGAATGAATGAATGAATGAATGAATAATCGAAATAAAGCCAGGGAAAGAAAAATCAATTTGATCACCGGGATTAACTGCAAGAATTGGCTAAACTTATATCAGTTGTTCAACTTTGAGATTTGTTCAGAATCAAATAATACACCGAGAAGGAATAGAAAAAAAATAGCAATACGTTTTTCTTTTTTCGGCACTGGGGTACGTAGCACAATTAACAAAACACCGGGACTGCTGGAGCGAAGGCCTGAAAAGATTCCTATATTATAGTAGCTCGATTGAAATATTAGAGAAAATAAGAAGTGAAAAATTTAAAACTACCATTACGTCAAGGCTTTATAGAATAGGCATCAAAGCTTCAAAAATATTTCTACGATAGCAGAAATGAAAATGGCATAAGTTTTATAAGGACTATAAAGCAATAAAATTTTTCTTCCAAATTTACTATAATCAGCAGGAGTGAGTGAAAAGTTAATTTAATCAGCATTTCTGAATCATGATTTTATGCCTTATAAGAACGGATCTCATAACTATCACCACATTAAAGACTTACAGATGCCACTACGGTCAACAGCTCAGTTGTCTCAATTAACTGACCCTTGGTTACAATTCCGATGATTTGTATTATTATTATTACATTAAGGGATGAGAGCGAAAGTTTATACAAAAGTATATACTTTGTATGAAGCTTAAAGAAATATATCTTAAATGCTTCGTTTCTTCTTGGTCAATGAACAACAACAACAACAGCAGCAGACATGTTGTGAATGGGATGGTAAAGATGCGTCATAAATATCTGATCGAGAAAAGCACCGATTAGCCCGTATGAGAAGGTCAAAAAAGTGAAACAGATGAATAGAGCTATAAAGTATTTGTGAAAAAAAGATTTCAGCATATTTTCAGAATGTTTTTCGTTTTTGTTAGTTGATGATCGAGAATGAAGAAAGGAGCTAGCTGTATGAGCAGAATGCAGAGAAACATAGTTACTCAGACCGAAACTAAAAGATCAAATTTCTTTAAGATCATTATGTCTTATCAGTCCGAAATTATTATCAGTCTCATAATCACAAATGAGTTAGTTGGTCATTTGCTAGCATCATAATTATTCGGAAAGTGTTGCATACACTTTTTAACATCATCCTTTCTGATTTGATTGAAAGCGATTGAGTGATGTTGGAAAACTATGAGAAGATTGATGCAAAGTACATCATCATTCATAAAATTTAGCACTTGCAGCATTCATTAGCAAGTAGTAAGTCGGAAGAAGGAAGAGGCGCAGAATGCACGATAATTTACTGCCGTTTAACCCAACACGGCATAATATGTTGCTTTTTAACTGAATGATTTAACGGCTGACTCTTTTAAACAGCTTTATTCATGTATAACATTAAGCAGCGAGATGACCTAACCGCAATTCTTCCCAGTAATAACAGTAGTAATATGGTGGTCATGGGAGATAACACCTGATAAGAAATCATATTCAGCAAACTGTAAGAATCGGTTCAAGAAATCATGAAAGAGTTAAGGAATGATGTGAGAATTATAATAATATACCGTCCACTTTAATTCTACTGGTCAAAAATAACATCTTAATATTCCAGTAAAATCCCATATAACGATTACAAAAATGAAAATGGATAAGATAAATATGAATCTTTAACTTACCATAAAATTTGTGCACTACTCCATACGTTTGGTCATTAGCTAAGTACAGGAGCGGGAGTAGACACACCGAGATGATAAACGAGTTGTTAAATCGAGACTTGAAAAAATTAAGGAAAAAATTGAACTGGTGCTTTTTCAAACCATTGACACCGTACTAGTGTGCTATCAATTCACCGGCATGATTTGAATCCTTCTTGCCCAAAAATTCCAATTATGCTGTAAAACAATGCACTTCAATTATTATTGTTCTGCAGTAATAATAAACTTATAAAAATTATGACGATCGTTGATGACAAAGCTTCTATCATATTTATAAGCAATTGCATTATTCACTCTTATCAATAATAAACAAAAGAACTTTTTTAATGATATTGATTAAAGAAAACAAAAAGCAATTATAAAATAATTTATATAAAATTTCAAGTAGAATTACATCAACAAATACAGACGAAATAAAAAACAAGAATAAATGAGAAATGAAATTATTAAAAGGAATATGTGAAATGATCATCATCATCTCTTTATCATCTGCCCATATTTTAACAGTGAAGAACAAAGCAAGAGAAATTGGAATAAATAAAAGAATTCTCATAAATAACAAGTAAAACCTAGTTAGTGTATCTGATCTGATCTCCTCTTTTTGACAATGTAACTCTTTTCCCCCGTATCCGTCCCCGTCCCTGTCGTCCCTGTCCCCGCGATAATGTAGAATGAGAGTAAAATGTTATCATCTTCTTACCCAAATGTTGTTGACGAAAAAATAGGAGAATGAGCGCACTTTTTCCAAGAGGCTATCATCATCATCTTTAGTGCAAATGAATTGCTACGACCATAAGAACAGGCTAGCAGATAGTGCTCTAAAACGCTGCAGACCATTTTCCTCTTCAGTTTTCGAAACACAATCAACCAACATAGGGGAAAAATTTTCATCACAACTGTATGTGCTCATTTAACTTCATTATCATTCATTCATTATTAGTTTTCTATTATACCTGAGATATTACCTACCGTTTAGGATGATTTTACCTATATTAATTTATTCATAAACAGAGATAGACTTCTGATCAATGCAATTGCTAATACTATCCAATTAATTTATGGTTGATTTAAAGGCATATATTAAGAGTTAAATTAAACTAATTTACTCATTATAAATGAATCAATTTTAATAGATAACAAATTCTTTTTGAAGTTATCCGTTATTTATTAAATCTTTCTTGAAAAACAGAATAATGGACATAACTAGTATAAGGCACATGAAAAAGAAGAATAGGAGAGAGAGAATTGTTAGATGTGTATACGGAGTGGAAGTAGAAGAATAGTTAAAACCAGCTGGTGGTGGCTAACCGAAAGCATTTTCTGATGCAGCACTCTTAAGTGCACGAACTTAGCATATACAGGAAAAACATACCGAACAGGTGCTGGCACTACTGACTCTTCATTGATACACAAATAGGTAGCTGTTCCTTACATTATCCCAATTATCGTTTGGTATTATACGTTTTTTTCATATGACAATAATGGTTGAATGGAAGTTGTTA